CCTTTTTTAAGTATTGTGAATCTTTAACCAATGACCATTAATACGAAACATATTAACATTGTGAAATTCATTGGATACTTAAATGATGATAAGGGTTTTGTAAGCGAGATTTTTCAAACCCAGAATGTATGATAACTTAAGAAAGTACAGCTTTATATTTAGAATGGAAATGAAATGCCTCAAGAGTTTTTGCAAGACATACAGGGAGAATCATGAAGTTAGTGAGCAGGCTTGTTGGATAAACACCAAATAGTAATCAGTAGAAAAGGTAGTTTTTGTACCCTTGTTGCCCCTGTTTGGCCTCTATACACCATTAGTTTGTAAATCCTAGCCAATGGGCTTTAGACGCTCTAACTTCGGCATGTGGCAGGAGAAAGTGTATAATATTCTTAACAGCTTAGGCTATTGCTCATTGTAATCTTAGCACAGGTTTCGCTTTGCCATCTTCACAGGTAAGATTTGTCAATCTTATGTTGTATTTAATCTCTTTTCTCCAAAGCATACAGACAGGCAAAATTTTGGGGATTCTCTTCCTTCATATTTAGTCCACATAACTTAATTTCTGAGGTGGAGAACTGTAATCACTGTTGTCTTTTCGGATGTTTTTGTTTTCTCTTTGTGAGCTAACGCTATCTGGCAAGCCTCGGCTCACATTACTCTCATAAGAGGAACAATATTAAATTCAGAGTCTCGTGAGATTAAAGACGCTAAACAAGGTGATGGAAAGCAAAGCCTCAGTGAACCAGTTCACAAGTTTAAAACCGGGCCACTGACTGGTTCTCAGTACGTTTTTACCGATCCAGGGCTCTGTGGACTGATACACTCAAACCTTCAGTGTTTGATTCATTACATATTGGGATCGGTTTGTCTTTCAACCCCAACTTATGGCTCATAAGAATGTGCTTGACCTCTCGGCAAAGATGTGGGCACTGCGTTTAATCATGTATGTAATTCAAAGTAGCTCGACAACAGCAATATTCTCCATAAGTAACCCGAAGGGACATGATTTTAATTCCTCTCCAATTCAGCACAGCACACAATGACTGAATGGGCATACTCATATGGCTGAAAGTAACTTTTGAAGTTATCGAAGTATCAAATTATATTTAACAACCAATTGTATGATTGATTAGATGAAAGGGATGTGAATTTCAAGCATATTGTGATCAGTTTTACGGCTAAAACTCTGACTATTAGGATATCATATCGGTAAATAGACTTAAGCCTGTATAGCGCTTTCTTCTGACTACTCAAAACACTTTTACACCTCAGGTCAAAATTACCCACTCACGCCTATTCACACACTGATAGCAGAGCGGCTGTTATGCAAAGTGTGCATCATGTTAACTAATCCATTCATATACATTCACATGGCTGACAAGGAAGCGGTAGCAACTTGGGGTTAAGGTTCCTCCCAGCATCTGTGGATCAAACCCACAACCTTCCGATTGGGAGACGACCGACTCTACCACTGAGTCACAGCCACTTGGTCAGCTGTTACCAGACAGCTTACACTGCAGTGCTAGATCAGGCATCAGCTTTCTATTTTAGGGGAAGTTTCTGCTCAGTGCCATGTAAATGCAGTCCATTTACCATTGACTGTATCATCAACCTTCAGATTCTTCTTCCACATCCAACTGTGGTGAAGCTGTTCACCCTTCAAATGATCATGTTAATCATGTTAGAGTGTCCATGTAGTAAACATGTGTCTTGAGGACCTGGAGAGCACGTAATGACCGCTATTATATTCACAGTGAACATGGTTATTAATGAGTCTTTCTGTCCTTGAATCATTGAATTGAGAGCACTGCTTTCATGCTTGGCAGTAATGTAAGCACACTCTTAGTTGTACCAGGTTTTTGACAGATTTTTCTGCCAGAGTTTGGAGCGTTCCCTGTTTTATAGTTTAAGGACTTTCTGCAGAGTCAAGGCTTTTGATTTACAGGTCAATCTACATTCACTCAGTGGTCATTAGCATTGGGTAAAGACTAAATGAATAGGATCATAAAAACTAGCTGCAAAAAATGTGTCCTCTGTGAGATGCACAGAACGGTTGAAATAGTGAGCAGTGAGATACTTGTTCCCAAGACGAGGTGATTCACACATCAAATCTGCCTTTGAAGGTAGTCCAGCACTTTCCCAGGACCAGAGAACAGTCTGAGGACTATCTCATGATTATAGCTTTTGTACCATAAGCAGTGCACAGTAGTTGAAATCACACCACTTACATGGATTTGCATAAAGTTTTCTGATTGCAGGAAAGTTATTTCTTGATTGCCTCAAGGGACCTCTTCCAAACCCAAAAGTTTTTGATTCTGCAAATACGGATTCTGCTATCCTGGCATCCAGGATTGAGTCTGTTGCCCTAAAGGACATCTTGAGCTGGATGGCATCCTTGTGTGGGTGTAGTTGGTTTGGTAACAACAAATAAGGAACACAGTTATCTTCTCAGTTTCCATGTGCTCATCCACAACTCAGACATAAATATGAAAATGAGTCAAATTCATGACACAGTTACAATTTCTTGATTATAATTTTTTAAGGAAATGGTAGCCATTTTATCCTTTATCCTTGAATTCCCTACTCAAATGCATCTTTAGAGATACAGTACACTGAGTTGGATTTAGCTAATTCTAGAAGGAATAATTCTGTATTATTTGAGGTTTTCAGGATTAAGTTTACAACTAGACTAGAATTATTATTATTCCACTTTAATTCATTGCACTTTTAGTTTTATGTTTACATGTGTAAAACTAAGGCGTAACATTTAAGTTACTATTTTATGTCTCCTTGCCTTGTTGGGAATATTTGTTCCTACCTGTCATAGTTTCAAGAGGGACGCTAATTAATGTGATGGTGTAGAGCAGCTTAAGCACACTGCAGTTGTTATGATTGCTAAGTAAACACGCTGCTGTACTGTCTTCCTTTATCAGAGTCAATTAGCGTTGAATGAAGAAGACAGCTGTTGAAGACATATTGTATAGCCCGCTTATCCCCACAGCCTGAAGAACTGGAGGTTAACAACCCAGAAAATAGGGTTACAGTACCCATCACCATTTCTCTTTCCCTTAACTCCTCCTTATTTGTTTCTCTTCTTGCTTGTGTTTGTCAGCTTTTTTTCCCTGTGCATCTCCGATCTCCCTCTCTCGCTGTCTGCAGTTCTCTATAAATATTTAGCCTATGTCTTTACTTAGCATTTACACATAATACTTCTCATGTTGATTGACTGCTATATAATTATATTTCTCAGTTCAAATCTATTAAACCTCATCACATTGTGTTTATGGCTGTACATCTGCTTTATCTGTACATCTGTTTTTCTTTTTTTTTCTGCCTCTCTGTCTTCTGACAGTTTGTTCCTCTGCACATTGAAGGCTTTTACAGAATACAGTGACATGTCCAATCCGCTGTGGAATTAATTACCTTGAATCAGATATCCCTGTGAGGAATACTCAGACACAATTGCAATCTTATTAATTTTCACTTTTCATCAGCTTTTTTTTTTCAGAAACAATAACAGGGGCACCTTTCCCCTGAGAGCATTAGATCCTTTGACTCTGTATTATTTTGTGAAAGAGCTGACTTATAAGAAAAGGAAATCGCTATTTCATAACACTAACATTCTATCCTGGGGCCCCTCTGTCCTCTTGTCTGAGTGTCACAAAGGGACATATTAAGATAATAAGGAGACCTACATGGCCCAAGGCATGACAACATGTTTCAAAGTGGTCTTTGCTACACACTCTGAAGTGCTGTGTTTTATTGCCTGTGGGGTTATTTTTACTAATGATGTTCAAAAAAGCATAACAACTTATTATTTTCACCGTATTAAACCGTATTAACCCCTAAAGATATCTCATGCATAAACAATGAAAACTGGAATAAAGACTGACAGTATGTAAAAGCAATCAAACATCAGGAAGCACTTAAGAGAAATATCTGGAAGTAATTGACAGTAAATCTGTATTTTAGCCCGCACTTTATTGCCCTTTCCAATCAATATAATTCTCATCTTTGACCATTTCTGTGTATCACTGTGAACAATATTGACATGGTAATGCCACATATTGGAAGTTCCCCTCTCACTATAGTTCAGCGTTAGTATCAGGGTTGTTTGCCTGTATGTGTCTATGTGTTATTGTGTTTGAAAGGTCTGTAACTTAGTAAAGCAGCCCCTTGTGACATGGGCCTTCTGCCTGCCACTTCACATCACTGGAGGATGAAGTAGGCCTAGTCAGGCATGACTTTGCCACACGACACAGCTCATGTCTTTCACCATTAGGGTCAAGTGCTCATTCCCATGACTTGTTTTCATTGTTACTTACTGTGAAACTGTGGGCTCTTTTTCCATTGATCGGAAGCCCATGGGAAATTGAGGCATTCAGTATATAAAGGCTACACTGCAGCAACTCATACTTGATACTTAAAACCAGCTAGTTAGTCTGTGTAGTCTAAATGATAGGGAGATTCAGATGGTTTAAAGAGTTTGATGAGTTTGGATAAAAATGGGGCTTTATCTTATAGATATCAACTTAGATTGATGCTGAGATGTGTTTTATTAATTGGCTTGGGTTAAATGAGATTTCTAAATATAGACTGAATATTCTGTGTTTGTTTAAATTTCATGTGCTCTACTTTTTTCTTTTTACTTACCACTATCAAATATTTTCATGCTCTTTAAGTTTATAGTGTGCTTGTTTGGCTCATTTTCCACAGTTTGTGTAGGTTAACCAATCATTTTTTTGGCATGCAACTGTACTGACAGGTAATTCAAAGTTTATATGGTGAATTGACCCAAGGGAGTGATGAATCACTTTTGGATGGGATCTGAAATGCAGAGTCTTTCATGGAGAAGCTCTCAGCTTATTTTTTTGAGTCTACTATTGTGTGTGATTTTTCCAAACTCCGACCAAGACCAGATCCAGCAATGTGATATTATCCAAGGTTCAATTTCCTTACCTGTGCTGGTCAAAAATGGGGACATCACCTTGGGGGGACTCTTTTCTCTTCATGACATGGTGGAGGAGCCAAGTCTATCCTTCACCTCTACGCCTCCTCCAACCCAGTGCACCAGGTAAGCTATTTCCTTACTTGTCTTCAAATTGCTTTAACTTTGGACTTGTTAAATAAACAACAACTGTATCATGTCTCACAATTACAATATTGTTCAGTATCTAATGCACTCCACTTTGCCTCTGTCATCTTTTTTTTCTTCTCCCAGATTTAACTTTCGGACATTTCGTTGGATGCAAACTATGATCTTTGCCATTAAGGAGATCAACCGAGAGGGCATACTGCTGCCCAACATCACCCTGGGTTATAAGATCTATGATTCATGCAGTACACCCCATCAGGCTTTGAAGGCAGCCATGGAGTTAATGGGAAGTGAGAACGGTTCAATGGTTGAAGGAGTGACACAGGGTATTGGCACATGTCATGGTGCCGTACCAGCAGTGATAGGAGACGGAGGCTCTACTCAATCTCTCGTTGTGGCCCGTTTCCTGGGAGTTTACCAGGTTCCACAGGTAAAGCAGTTGTAGATTTTCTATATCTGTGTACCAGAGATTTGATGTATATAAAAGCTTCTGGGGAAATAGAGATTGCAGTGCGTTTTGCTTCTTGCGACAGTTGTTCATAGCACTGGGGTCAAACACAACAGCCAGTATATATTGTTTCTCGTAGTAATTTACTGTAAATTTAACAGTGTACTAAGTTGGCAAATTTCCTTCCTCCATCTAGGTTAGTTATTTCTCCAGCTGTGCCTGTCTCAGTGACAAAGATCAGTTCCCTGCATTTTTAAGGACCATGCCTAGTGACTTTTTCCAAGTAAGAAGCAGAAGACAAACAATGAGATGCATTGAAATGTGACGACCTCCATGAAACACTGTGAAACAGCCCCTTCCTCTTTGTATGTGTCCATAGGTAGATGCACTGGTACAACTTGTCAAGCATTTTGGTTGGACCTGGGTTGGTGTGATTGCAGGAGATGATGCCTATGGCCAAGGTGGGGCAAACATTTTTGCCTATAAGGTTGGTCACAGTGCCTTGATTGAATATCTTTTTGGAATTAATTATTATTTTGTCATATTTTAATGTATAACTAATTGAGCATACTGTAAATTTAGAAGATGTAAGTTGTCATGTACCTCCTCTTTTGCTATTTTAGGTTAGAAAGCTTGGTGCTTGTGTTGCCCTCCATGAGATCATCCCAAAGAACCGAGCACAGGCTGCCATTTCTTCCATCATTTCAAAGATCCGCTCCTCTGGGGCTCGGGTGATTCTTGTGTTTGCTGTGGAACAAGATGCAGCTGCCTTGTTTGATGAAGCGCTCAGGCATGATATTTATATATAGACTCCATCATTATAATATGATTTGAATCCTGTATCAACATTTGGTTCTGAAAACTTCTCACTGATTGAAATCTCTGAAGTTTTTCAATCCCAAAAGTTATCTAACAAAATCTCATTTACATGTCTCTTGAATTTAGAGAGGAGCTCACTGGTATTCAGTGGCTGGCCAGTGAGGCTTGGAGCACTGCTGCCGTCCTCTCCACCCCAAAAAAATACCACCCCATCCTCCAGGGTTCAATGGGATTTGCCATTCGACGAGCAGACATCCCAGGATTGCAAGACTTTCTGCTTCGTTTGCACCCATTGAACCCAGATGCCCTGGAAGATCCATTCTTGATACCTTTCTGGGAAGAGGTGTTTCAGTGCAGCCTCGGTGTCCATGCTGAAGGTCAGGAACGCAATGATGAGGGTAAACCTCCATGCACTGGAGAGGAAGAGCTTGGGAGTGTAACCAATATCTATTCAGATGTGTTACAGCTAAGGATTTCCTACAATGTCTATAAAGCTGTGTATGCCATTGTTCATGCACTCAAGGCCATGAGAAGCTGTGTGAAAGGAAAAGGGCCATTTCCTCAGCAGACCTGTCCAGATGTAGATAATATACAGCCATGGCAGGTAATATTCCAAATGTTCACTATTTCAGTCTAGAATAAACAGAGTTCAAGTAAGACGTCTAAGTTTTATCTTTTGATGTTGTAAGATGTTAATTTGTACTTTTCCCCGTTAGCTTCTTCATTACATAAAACAGGTGGATTACTTGAACTCTTTTGGTGATGAAACCAAGTTTGATGAGAATGGTGACCCTGCAGCCATGTATGACCTGGTAAACTGGCAGCTCAAACCAAACGGGAAAATGGAGTTTGTCACTATTGGCAAATTTGATGAGACGACTATAGTTGGAAAGCAAAAACTCCAGATCCAAGAGCAGAACATAATGTGGAATGGCAACCAAACCCAAGTAGGGATCTTAATACAATTAACCCAAATGTGAATAGCATTCTTTCACTACTTACTTCATTATGGGACTGTGTTGTGACCAGTGTAGCGTGCGTTTCCTGTCCTAATTAGGTTCCCTTGTCAGTATGCAGCAGCATTTGTCCCCCTGGTACCCGGAAGGCAATTAGACCTCACTTCCCTATCTGCTGCCATGATTGTGTGGTGTGTACAGCTGGGGAGATTAGCAATCAGATTGGTGAGGAAAGGCCAACTGCCCATAATATTTTTGAGAATCTGACAATTATTCAAAGTTGTCTTGTCTTTCCCTTTAGATGCCATAGAGTGTGTCCGCTGCCTTCCAGAGTTCTGGTCCAATGATGAGAGGACAGCCTGTATACCCAAACAAGTGGAGTTCCTCTCCTATAGCGACACCATGGGCATCACCCTGACGGCTATTTCGCTTATTGGTTCCTTCTGCACATGTGTTGTTTTCTTCATATTCTCCTGGCACCGAAACACCCCTATTGTGAGAGCAAACAACTCCGAGCTGAGCTTCCTGCTGCTCTTCTCCTTGACTTTATGCTTCTTGTGTTCTCTGACCTTCATTGGCCGGCCCTCTGAGTGGTCTTGCATGCTGAGACGCACAGCATTCGGCATCACATTTGTCCTCTGCATCTCCTGTATTCTTGGGAAAACTATTGTAGTACTTATGGCCTTCAGATCTACAATCCCAGGTAGCAATATGATGAAATGGTTTGGGCCTGCCCAGCAAAAGGCAATCATCACTTTTTGTACACTTGTCCAGGTAAGGACTTTTGACTTGTAAATTACTTATAATAATTCATCATTCCAATGTTCCAAAATTAATATGTATTCTGTTGCAGGTAATTATCTGTACAGTCTGGCTGGTTGTTGCTCCTCCCACTCCACGCAAACTCATGCCTCGAGAGAGCGCGATTGTCATTCTTTTATGCAGCGAAGGTTCAACTGTAGCTTTCGCTCTGGTCCTGAGCTATATTGGCCTGTTGGCCTGCCTCTGCCTTCTCCTGGCCTTCCTTGCAAGGAAGCTCCCAGATAACTTTAATGAGGCCAGACTCATCACCTTCAGCATGCTAATTTTTTGTGCCGTGTGGGTAGCCTTTGTTCCCGCCTACATCAGTTCTCCAGGGAAGTACTCCACAGTCACAGAGGTGTTTGCAATCTTGGCCTCTAGTTATGGACTTCTCGGCTGCATTTTTGCCCCAAAATGCTACATAATCTTACTGAGGTCAGAAAAGAACTCGAGGAAACACCTGATGTCTAGAGGTTCCACTGACAAATTTTAGGAGACCATACTTAAATATGGACTTATTTTATTGCCAAAATAAAAAAAAATGCACATGTATATGTTAACCTCAGTACACTTCCATGTTTTTTTTAAAGAGACTATATTTGTAAGCCTCATGTCCTTGAAAATGAGAAGTCAATTTATACCACCAGGTGGTAGTAGTGTGCCTTTCATGACATTTGAACTCAGGTAATGTGCAACCATACTGTCACACAACTTTATTCTTATCTACAACTGTCCCTATGTGTTTGTTTATTTTCTTCTGCAACAAGTTTGTTACAGATCTACTTCAACCTTATTAAATGAAAAGATAAATAGAAATCAAGATAGACACGGTAATTATAGAAATCATTTTTACACTAATATGTAAAAAAAAAAAAAAAAGAACAGAACAACCATAATTGTCTTGAATCAAATGGTTTTATTGTTCTAGCAACATGACACTCCTTTGACGCTCTCAGTGATAATGTGAAAGACAGCTAAAGGAAAGCTCTGAATGGGATTTGGCAGCAGTGTCCATGCTGATTTGGCCCTGAGATAGAATGATGAGGCCCAGAGTCTCTGAGGTATGCTGTGGAAATCCCAGCTGTCATTGGTTAATTAAATCCTCATACTCCAGAGGCCTTTACATACAAACATCACGCCTGGCTATTCCCTACAATAACAAACTAAAAACGTCAGACATTTTTCCCCGCTGTACACAGCTGCTTTCAGACTAACATTGATTATCCAACACTGATTGATCTGTTGTTCCTCCCATGGCGGGAGAATAAATTGGAAGATGGAGAGATTGTGTCTCTGACGTCCAATCGGGGACAGACAGGAGAGGGGGCGGGGGGGGGCAGCACTTTTCTATGCAGTATTTCTCTATTTACATTAATTGTCGACCTTCACTTTTCTTAACCTTTGTTTAATCAACCCATGTCTGCCCAGCAGTTTGATTTTCTCTTCAAACTGCACAGTGTTAGAAATAATATTATAATAATCAATAATAATAATTCAAAGCACTATTTACATGTTAAATAAACTAGATACATTATATTTAAAATTGGAAGAATAAAAAAAGAGACACCCTTCATTTTAGTTTTTTTTAATAAAATGAAAAGGCCATCAAAATGATAAAATGCTTAGAGAGATTCAAGGATGTGTCTCATGGCTTGGCTAAATGCCTGTTTGGAGAATAAGTGAAGAGTTCATAAAAATCCTTTGTAGACACACTTTAGGTTTGTTGACAGTGTATGAATAAACACAGGAAGGACACTGAAAGATGTAATGAGGGCATGACTTCTACCGACATATTTACTAAATCTTGTCATCGTTCTGTTTTTTATACGGAGCAAATGATGACCAGATGTTATTCATTGATGACGCGTGGGTGTTCACCTAACAAAAGACAGAGGTAGGAGCTGTTGTACAAAATTATTTGTCATGAATATGAAGTAATTTATGTCAGCTTGGGTTGAAATGAAGTGCAGGCGGTTATTAGACCACAAATACAGGGATGATAAAATCACACAAACACACTTCTGGGAAATTCAGCAGCCATGTTGTAAGTGTTAATTCTAAGCAGGCTGTAATGATTTGGTTGTTTTGACAGTGTCCAAAGTGTTGCTTCAACTTAATGTCTGTTTCGAATCAGCTCTTTTGTTTAGCAAATATTCTGACTTTCTGTTAGCCCGGTCGAAAATCCGCTTGTGAATTTTATTTGGCAATTATTCTACTTTTCTACCAACATTAGTTTGAGTGTTTGCAAAAAACACCAGTAATTAAGGAGCGTAAATCACAATTGAAGAAGCAGTAGTTACCAAATGACATCAGTTTCAGTCAGACAAGGGCCATAAAAGTACGTTTTCAATGCAACATTATTGGCAGCAGGATAAAAAGAGGCAAAATATGTGAGCCTTGGATGTTTGATTAGACCAAATAACAAAAAAATTAGGCAGTAAAGGGTAATGGAAGGGAGTGAAAACTATAACATCATAACATCATTAACCAAAATACAAATAAGTGTATATTTGCTTAACTAACCCTAAGGGGACCATAAAGTTGAATCAATAGGCCCATAGCCTGAAACATAAGAGCCTTTTAACGCAGCTGTAGGGCTATTGCATTTACTGTGAGGTACAATAAGTCTGTTGAAAAGGGTTTTTGGTCGAAAAGAGAAGTGTAAAAAGTCAATGACTTTGGCTTTGCATGTTGATTAGGCTCCAGTGCTGAGTGACTGATCCATGTCTTGCACAGATTTCTCTCATTCTCTTTTCATGATGATGGCGTCTCTTTCACCATAATCCCGGCTGTCTGTAATTTTTCAGTCTTGAAACCATTTCTTCTTCGGGTAGCCTTTTTTCCAGCTTTCATTTTACCTATTATGTAGAGAAAGCCAAAGTCACAGAGGATGGATACCATAGAAACTGCAGCCGAAACTAATGGTCTCGCCATAATAGCACCATTCACTCAGGCCCATGTGGTTGCCTAACACAGGGCAGGGAATGATCCAGAGATCTCAGAATTACTCAGAATTTGAGAAAACTGCAGTGATGATGGCTTTTTTTATGTATGGGATGAGTCACTATGCTAATCTAATAAAGAAATCAGATCCATGTTTGGGGTTTCTAAAATTGGAGGAAAGCTAAGTGATGAAAGGATGCAACAGAGAGATGCCGAGATTATCATGCTGAATAATAAATGTGAGATTGAACAATTCTCACATTTGGCAAAGCAAACACACATTCACTGTCTGATGACTGCATGTTTATGATGAGCTGTCAGGATGGCACCACTTTAACTCATAAAATGCTAAAATGAATGCATATGTTTATTTCAAATACATATATAAATACACATCATTTTCTAAAGTATGTTCAACTAGAAGGTTTTATAACTGTGAACAAGTTATGTGCTAACACACACACAAAAGAACAATTATAGTAGAGAAAATCAGATGTTGTTATAATATAGAAAATACAGTTCTCAAAAGTTGTTTTGGCAGATTGGGATTTTTAATCCTTTTTGCCTTTACCTTTATTTTTCCAACTATCTTGCCATCAGCTGTTTTAATGTGTTTCCTTAATAATACCAGCAGGTCCCTGAGGTCCTCTGACCAGGGTCTGCTGGCTGTTCCTCGCATGAGGATAAAGACCAAAGGAGACTGTGCCTTTGAGGTTGTGGCTCCCACATTTTGGAACTTTCTTCCCCTAGAACTTTGAGTGTTGACCTCTGTGGACACTTTTAAAAAGCAGCGAAAGACCTATCTGTTCAGACTTGCCTTTGTTTGATCTGTCTGTATTTGATTTTATGTGACTGTTTGTATTATCTCTGTTTTTGTTTTATTGTGAATCACTTTGTGACGTTCTGCTCTTGAAAGGTGCTATATAAATAAACTTTACTCACGTACTAAACTTTACTTCAGGCCTCAGAAGAAAAAATAAACACTTTGAGGCAAAGGTACAAGAAAAAGGCTTTAAATTGAGGCAAGGGTGGCAAAAATCTTGTCTGCAACAATCTACTTCTAGAGCTAATGGTTTAAGGCACAGAGGACACCAGACAATGCAGAAGATCAGCATGCTGATGCTGTCATGGGGTTTCCTTGTGAGGAACGAGGAGGTGAGACTGGCCACAGCCCAATTAGGTCAAAAAAGAGGAAGTCCCAGCACAGAGCCCTTAGCTCTTTAAAGAATGATCTTGGGTCCCTTGTTGTCAATGATGCCTCTTTCTGCAGGTTGAGCAGGTGCCAGGGTCAGCCACAGCACAGAGATCAGCACCTCTTTACAATAATGATTCTCTTTTAAACTCAGATCCCCTTTACCATGGTGCAGAGAGATTCCCATGACACTGCTGTCACAAAAACTACCATGGTGAGCAGGGCACAGTATACAGTATACAGTACAAAACCACCTATGAGTTGATGGGAGCCTGAGCTCACAAGAAGCACAAATCTAGTGTCAGCAGGGGCATGAATCATACCTCTGTGTTGTTAACTTCTACATTTAAAAGTAAGGGGACGCAGTGATAAATTAGAGTGTGGTGTTGGAAGTGCTCTTCTTTTAAATGTGATGTTAATGGATCAGGAAATAGCAAGATCACTAAACTGTTATTCTCATAGCATGATGAAACAACAACATAAGAAGTGATCTAATGTCATCTGGGATGGTACCACACATTATCAGAGGTGTGTGTCACTTGTAAAGAAAGGTTTTGCCATTGTCAGCCTGCTCCAACAACTCTGGTGATGAGGATGTCTCATGTGCATTTGTTAGAAAGAACAAAAGAACACATCTTCAAAATTCATGTGTAAAATACTGAAAATATAATATGCTCATGGCAGCAATAATGTAGGTGTCTGCTGCTCTTTCCACATTAAGTTGCACACCTCTGGGACTATTTTAAGGTTTTGTATGTTAATTTAGTGCTAAGGTCTTACATGGAAATTACTTATAATTAAATCTTATATAAATATAATTTTCATGGTTTTTAGGCTGTTGTATTCTTTTGTGTTGTTCTTTCATGTGACCAGTGTTTGGATAGGCCTATTCAAGCGTGGCTCTACGTTGTATGACTTAACCACCTCCAGGGACAGTAGGGGGCCCCAGTCTCTGGCCCCCTTTTTTTGGAGTCAGGAGCTGGAAAGTTTGGGAACTCTAGCCTACTCTAGGCAGCACTAGTATAATTAGCTACGTCTCTGTTTTAGACCTCCACTAGGTATTATTCTTTAGTAATTTGATGGAAGGTTCTACAGGCCTTAGACTTTTTATGTATGCCTTGTCAGGTTTATCTATAAATGTATGTAACCTTTTTATTATGTGCATTTTTTTAACTTCCATAACCATTTGGGATATGAAGGCTCCATGCCCATGAAGTATTTAATGCCTGCTGTGTTGATAGGATAGATTTTCATTTGATGTAGTGTTTACCTTCTAGTTCAAGTTATCTTTTGAAAGCTTGAACTATATGGGATGCACTGATTGTGATAGATATAGATGATAAGAATAACAATTTAGT